TCGTGTAGATAGTCCCCAGGCATAGCTCAAGAAGCGAAAGGTTCAGACCCCGGATTTGCTAAGAGATCAGAACAGCAACATGACACCCACAGAGATGCTGGGGGGCTTTCATGTGATTGGATGACGTGCCGTTTCTGTCGTTGACCTAATGAGCCATTAGCTGCCACTCTCCTGGTGATTAATTATATAATCTGCCTTCATTCCCGGTGGTTTACAGCCAGCATCTTCCAGATGTGCTCACCTGGAGTGTTTAACCAGGACCCTAAACCAAGGCCCTGCAGAAGCGCCCATGCAGACTGACTCCTCAGCGTCAGAATCCTCCTCCCCCTGAAAACTGCTGAAACCCTGTTTTGTCCAGGGAGTTATCTGATCCATTGCCAGTTACACGAAGTTCCCAATTTACACACATTATGTTCCAGAAATCCATGTCAATGTAAATGAGGACAGATCTCTCCATAAAAACAATGTTATTAAATGGCGATAAAGTTCTTACCGTTAGGCCTCTATTTCATCATACGGCTGGTCTACAGAACTTAGAACGTGCCCATTATTTACAGCATGATCGCAACGTGAAAATTCATTTTTTTAAGGGAAGCTCCTAAAGTTAAAAAAAGAAGTGCCCTCAATAACCTAGTTTTTGCAATGAAACATATAGAGTAGGATGATGTTAAAGAGCTAACACTTGCACAAGTACCCTTTTAGAACTTACCCACTGACTAATCTTCGAAACAATTCTGTGAACTAAATACAGCTATTATCCCCATTTACAGTGAAGGACACACACAGGAACGTCACATGGCTAATAAGTGGCAGAACCAGGTCTGATTCTCGGGTCCACGGGCTGAGCCAGGGGCTGGTAACCCATGGGTCGGAGCTGGCCCGGCGCCTGTTCTTGTAAATAACGTGTTGTTAGAACGCAACCAAATCCATTTGTTGACATCTTGTCTGGGGCTGCTTTCATGCTACGAAGGCAGAGGTGAGTAGTTGTGCCAGAGACCCCGCGCTGTGCAAAGCCGGAAGCATTTATCGTGGGACCCTTTAAGGAAAGTTTGCTGGGCACGGCTAACCCATCTCTGGATCACCTCTGAGGGTACGTAGACCCTCTTCCTGGCCTCTGACCACAAGCCTCACCACGGGGAGCGGGGCCCAGAAGCGGGAGGAAGGAACAGGAGACCTGGATGTCCTCAACAGCGACGGGAGGTCCAGGGGGTCACTGACCAGCACAGGGGGTTATGTTTATTTCCCAATACGCTTCCTGCATCGTTCCCAAAAAGATCTGAAGCAAGGCTCACAGGTCCAGAACCTAACCTCCACAGACGCGGGGACGGTTGTCTTTATTCATTGCTGGAAACCTTATTAGTGAACAAATGAACAAATATATAATTTATGTTTGTGAATCGGGGTCCACGTGTACTTTGTTTGAAGACAAACACGGAACAGGTTAAAGGCCCGCAGATGCGCTGCCCATGAGTATCACAGTCAAGGTTCTGGCTTCGACTTTTAGGCAGACGAACGCCAGTGGGACAACACATTACAGAGTAAGGTCATTTCCAACCAACCTGGGATTCTCCTGGGCTCCTAAGAGCTTCACTCACTGATCATTCTGTTTGCCAAGATTCTAGAATCAACAATAAATTTGAAATCTTTTCCCATATTATGGCCAGATAAATACTAGTGCAGTGGCCGAGTTGTAAACGCTCATTTGTTTTGATTTTTCTTTCATAAGACAATGACTTTTAATTTCCGGGGAAGGATTCGAAAGCCAGAGTTGAGTTAACTCTTCCGAGAAAACAGAGCTGGACACGGAAAGAATAACCCTATAGACTAGAGGTTCCACAATCCCACTGAGGAAGGCTTGTTCCTAACAAGACTAACTAACTGTCGTGCTGTGTTTCAGCCAATCCTGATTCACCATATGGAACTCGAAATTTTAAAGAAAACTGCACTCAGCTGAATCAAACTGGGAAAGTATCTGTGAAAGAGTGGGTGTGGGGCGGGAGCACTGGTGTGGAAAGCAAGTCCACGGCATGTATCACACGGAGGGAAGGGAACACAGGGGATTCTGCAGATGCTGGGAGGCGGTCACGCTGCGGCTGGGGGCTGAGAGGGACGAAACAGGGGCGCCCAGAGGCAGCGTCCTAACTCGCAGCCTGATACCACTGGGGCCCGTTCGGGCAGGCTGGCTGTCACCCAGGGCTGCCCCAACGTGGACCTGGCCTTCACAGCCTGCCTCACAGCAGTCTGGTGCCGGGGAAACCCCGCCACTTCCCATTTCCAGACCCCCACCACTGGACAATCGAGGCCCTGCCTAGAATCTGATCTGCCCACTCTGAATGGCCGCACGAGAGGGGTCCCCAAACTCTCAGCATCTCGGTGATGCTGTCAAGCGGCTTCCCGCGCAGCCTCTTGCAGAGCGCTTTACAAATGCTCTAAGTGAGCCGCGGTGACTGACAAAGCCTGGGGACACAGCCGGAGGGCGCTGAGAGGAAAGGCTGGAGCGTGGTCCACCAGGCGCCCCGGGCACAGCGCTCACCGAGCTGGACGCCCTTCAGCAAAGCCCGCGACACCACCGCCGGGTCCGTGACGTTCACACCCCCAGCGCCGAGGCGGTGAACAGCGCCAGGCTCAACGCAGCACGCGGCCCCTACCCCGCCCCCGGGAGAGAAACGCTGCCCTCCAGCCTCAAGCCCTCTGGCCCGGGTTGTTTTGTTTTTGTTTTGAGTTTGGAACGCTAACCTTTGTAAAAAGCTAAACTCACCGCCCAGAAAAAAAGGAAGGTCACTCACCAGGAAGCCACGGAAATGGGAAATGAAGCCTGAGACGCGCGTCAGTGTTTTTCCACCAGCAAAGAGAAGCCTCAGACGTTACCACGAGCGACGCCACCGCGAGGCCCGAGCACCCTCCTCCCCCAGGTGCGCCCCGCCCCTCCCGCGGCCCTGAGCCCCACAGCCGGTGACCTGCACCTGCACCCCACGCGGGACGCAGGCAGGGTCTCCTTAGCCCCTGGGCTGCCCTCCGTCCCGACACTCTCTAGAAGGGTTCCCTTCTCAGGGGGCGGGGGGCACGGGGTCAGGGAAGCAGCCCTCCTGGCCGCGTTCCGGGCACCTGTGCTCCTGTGGCGGGGCGCTGGGGGGATGGTGACAGGAAGGAAGAAGCAATCAGACGAGCGCCATGCGCCTCGCAGAGGCCCCTGGAGCGCCCCCAGACCCGAGCGGGCAGCCTTGCACTTGAATGTGCTTCTAGCTACCGCAGGCCCCTCTGCAAAGAACTTCATCTGTTTCTTGAGAGCAGAGGTTACAAGCTGGTTCTCACTGGCGGGATCCTCCCTGTGTCTAAGGCAATAGATACATGTTTGACTCACACACAGCTCAAGCTTTAATTGGCTGCTGATGCTAAACTGAATTCAGAACACGCCTTGTGAAAATCCGGCCTTGTGGCTTCCCTGGAAGAACTAGAAGATCTGGCAGCACGTGACCCGCTTCGAGCTCGGCCGCCGTCGGCTGGGGCCCGGGGTGGGGGTGCCGCCTGCGCGCGCGCACCGCACCCGCTGTCCCACCCGCCCAGAGGCCCGCCGTCACCGCCGTTTATTTATATTCTCGGGGACCCGTTTCACCCCTTTACGCTCCCAAGGGCACCCAGGCTCACAGCCCCTGCCCTTAAGTGTTTGCCATCAACAGCCTCTTTAACCAGATATCGGTGACAAAGCACTTTGAACATTTTCGTGTTTTACGTCCTTTGGAACCCAGTCTCTCTGGATATGACCTGTATGCGTCTCTGGGACGGAATTTTATTTGGAAGAAGAAACCACAGCAAGAAGAGGAGGCACACGAGAGCATCATCCCGTCAGTGCCAACGGCGCAGGTCTCGCGTGTGTGCATGCGCGTGCCTCTTCAGGGTGGGGGAACTGCAGGGCATCCTAATGAGCCCGAGTAAGGGAAAGCTTCCCAGGGGACGGGCCAGGTACAGAGACTCCGTGGGCTGCCAGAATGAATCCCTCAAACAGCCAGCACACAGGTGATTAGAGAAACAGGGAAAAATGAAAAGCTGTGACTTGGAACATAAGGCGGGGGCTTGGAGGAAAGAACGTTCATGAAAGGCCGAGACGTCTGCTAAGTAGTGAGAAGCAGGGATTGACAGGAGGAGAGAGGGGGAAGTCGGGGGTGGCAGGTGACAAAAGCGGGACAGAAAGCAGACACGTACCCAGGGGGAGGATGAGAAGGAGCTGCTTTTCCCAGTGACCTGCAGCGAAAATTAAGCTTCTGGCCTGATAATGACACCTGAACAGCCTCCCAGGTTAAGGCCCAGGTGACTTCCTGCCCACCTGGAGGAGGCTAGGCCGGGGCCGTCTCCCCGCTGATGCCAAACCGATTCCTTAAACAGGAACCGACCACACTCACCTCTGGGCTGTTTCCAATCTCCTGTCTCTATAAACGACCAAAGCCACAGAATGTCAACAGCTTGCAAAGGAAGGTGATTGCACAACATTTATGCCTTCACATAAAGCACAGGATTAGCATTTAAATGACGGTCTGCCTTCCAGACACGGGATCACAAACACCTGGCCCTTCCTGGAGTGGAGCTTTCTAAGCGGAAAGTGGATCTGGCCCTTCCTGGAGTGGCGCTTTCTATGCGGAAAGGTGGTCAAGCCGCTGCGCCGTCTCCTCACCTCGAACTTCTGCCTCAGCTCCGCGTTGCCTTCCTCATCGCCTTCTGGAATGGGCACGTTGTAGTACTCACCCTCCTCTTGGTTCAGCAACTTGTACCTTTCAGAGACAGGGAGGAGGAGGGGGTGAGCCCCACGCTGGCACCACCCAGGCTCACCCCACACCCCAAGGCTCTAGTCCAGCTGTTTCTGACATGCATCCCCTGGGGAGATGGTACCCAGGTAACTTCGTGATCAACAGTCCCTTTGGACTTAAACCGGCCCCTTTCCGGAATCTCTAGTCGCGCTAATATTTTCAGACAATTAACCCTTCGCTCACACAGACACGCTTGGGCTTCCTCACCATCCACTGGCTGGCATCTTCATCAGCTCCGAGACTCCGAAGGAAAGGGACCCCATGAAGTCGTTCCTGGTTGTTCGATCCCAGTCCCAGATCTCTACGGACAGTCGTCGGTCTTTATCTGAAGGTTTTAATTTGCTACGAAAGAACACACACACACACACACACACACACACACACACACACACACACACGGTTATCCTGATCATGATTTTGGGGGAGATATCGCATGCTCATGATCTGAGCCTGAGATTCAAAAAAATATTGTATTCAATTCTCTTCCTGGGGTCCTCCATCATCAACAAAGTACCAGCCCCTTGGCAAATGAGGCTCTAGACTAGGGGTTAGCAAACTATGAGCCAAGGGCCAAATCAGGCCCACTGCTTGCTTTTGTAAATAAAGTTTTATTGGAATACAGTCATGGCCATTTGTTGAGACACATATTGTCTATGGCTGCTTTGAACCTAGAACAGCATAGCTGTGTACCTGGCAACAGAGACTGTATGACCCATAAGGTCTAAACTACTTACCATCCAGCCCTTCACAGAGCAAAGCTGGACAGCCTCTGATCTATATCCTAGACAGCTACCTTCTGGCTGTGCACAAATGCTTCCTGTGTTCTCCTGTACAAAGAGGACCTCTTTCTGTGCTCAGCTGCCCTCAGTGCTTTCTTGCTCCTGACTTGCTTATGCCACCCCCTCCTCCCTTCTTTCCCTCCTCCCACCTCTGCCTCTGAAATCCTCACATTCCTTTCACGTCCACTTTAAATGGCACCTTCTCCAGGAAGTCTTCCCTGCTTAGACATAAGGATAATCTTCCCATTTCAGTGGCAACAGCAGCTTCTATGGTACTCACTTTCTCCATGTTTTTAAAATTATTATTTAAACTCTTACCTACATCCTCTTGTAACCCTTAAAAAATACCCTAAGTCCATCAAGAGGTGGGACACACTGTACATTTTTATATCATCTGTAACGTAAAAGAATTTTTTTGTACAGAAGTTACTGATGGTAATTTGGGGCCTGCGTCCTGTAAGTCTTGGTAAACCGAGTTTCTATCCATCAGACAGGGGTGACCACAGCTATCTCTCTAGCTGCCACAGGAGAAGGGCTTAGGAATGAAGCAATGTTTAAAGACGTTTATAAAGCCCAGCTCATCACTGCTAACAATGTGAGGGAGGAAAGCCATCAGGAAGAGAGGATTCAACTTACAAGGTAAAGGACTCATTCCACTGGGGGTTCAGCGTGGAACGGATGGTTTTGGTTTTTTGTTTGCTTTCGTTCTTGGGGTCAGGAATAAGCTTCAGCTTCACATAAGGATCTGAAAGCCCATTTGGATCCATAGGGATGAGATTTTTTGCATCTCGTACTGTGAAGAGAGAAGGAAGAAAGATCCAGTGTTACAAAAATAGAACAGACCCTCGTTGCCGGGCGTCCTGCGTCAGGACCCAGCTGATCGAGAGACGTCAAGATGGCGTTGAAAGGGGAGGAGGTTTGGATCAAGAGCCTCTGACCCTCAACACGAGAGGAGCTGCCCACCGCCACCCCTGCCAGGGGTAACGGGTGTTGGGGAGGCCCCTGTGGTCATGCCTTGAGACTCGGCATCAGCCTGGTCCAGCAGCACCTGTGACACCTGGGTCATACCCCAAACCTGTGAAGCAGAATCTGCATCGTAATGAGATCCCCAGCGGCCACTGGCAGCCCCCTCCCCCTCTGGGGGAACTGGCCCCCCTCCCCAACCAAGCAACCAGCGGACTAGTCCACGGCACGGCGGCACTTGAACTCCTAGAAGAAGTCATCTCTTTCCTTTGTAAAGGCTGGTGGTTTCTAAACTGGCTGTACGTTAGAATCGTGTGGGAGGGGGTCTGAAAATTCCAACGCTCACAACTAACTTAGAATCCGTAGTCGGCGGGCGGGGGGTGGGGGCCAAGTTTTTAGACGCTCTCCAGGTGAACCCTTGTGCAGCAGCGGCTAGAGCTACCAGCGCACAGGCAGTAACGCAGGAGGTGCCTCACAGGGGCTACAGCCTGACACCGAGGGCAGGCCCACCTCCCAGCAGCACCTGGGGCGGCACCTGGGCACCGAGGAGACACACAGACTCACAGGCCGCACTCCAGAATTTCAGGCTCTGAAGCGTCTCCTAAGGCTGCGGGGGACCCCAGCGTATATTCTAGGTGAAGACGCGCTCACACGCAGACGCAAAACAACGAGGAGGAAAGAGGCTGATTCACCCGCAGAGGAGGCAGGAGGAGGCAGGAGGAGGCGCGGCTGGCGGAGGCTCGTGACAGCGCAAGGGCTGAAGCCCCGGCCTGTCAATCATCCATCACTCTGATAAGAAGGGACAGAGGCCGGGGCCTGCGCACCGATGTCTTCCTCGCCCTCTTCCCCAACGTGGCTGAAATCGCCCATCATCGGGGCCCCTGAGGAGCCGGATGCCATGGGGACACATCCACCTGGGACCAGGATCTCTCGGCCAGCGACTTTCACAGGGCAGCTCCTGGGCCAGCAGTGTCAGCATCAGCGGCTGAGTCAGAACTTGGGCAGGGGGTGCGGTCAGGCGACCCGTGTTTACCAAGCCTCCGGGTGATTCCGTGGGAAAGCTGGCGGACCACTGCTCCAGCCCGTTAGCATAGATGGTCAGATTAGCTTGATGGTTAAATGAGGGGTTTGGAAGAATTTCAGAAGAAGGTGCTAGCGTTGGCAGTGGGTAGGGATAGAGGGGGGTGGAAGGGTGCTAAAGACACTGGGTCTCTGGGCAGAGCCCTAACGGCAGAAGTCACAGACAAGCGTTGCCCGAACGCCTGGGGACACGCTGAGTGCTGTCACCTTTCTTGCCTGGAAGCCTTGGCTCAGGAAGGTGACAGGTGGGACCGTATTCTAATGGTCTGAGGGGCGACAAGCCACAGAGAAGCTGGCCGTGTGTTTCTCGTACACCACTTACAGCCCTCCAAGGATTTTTCCCCGTGAGACAGTACCTAACCTCATCCAGCCGGCAGGGGACAGAACAGAAGCAAGTACGCACCCCAGGATCTGGAGCTCAGCCGACCTGCTTCCAAATCCCACCTCCATCGTGTGACCCCAAGTACTGGAAACTTAAGTTCATGAGCCTCTGTTTCTTCATCTAGAAAAGTGAACAGGGGCATATTTCCAGTGGTACAGGACTGTTGGGAGAATGAAATAATGTATACAAAATGCCTTATACTGTTGGCAACTTGGAAAATGGTGGAGGAAAAAAAAGGCTGCACGACGTGAGCACATACGACGCCCCAGACGCGGTGTTTCGGCCTCATCCCTCTGCCCACAATTTCAAAATCTTCAGTGAGGTAGGAGGTCTCCAGGGGCCCTGGCCACCTGAGAATTCCCCCAAGCTCACGGAGGTTTTAACGCAACGCAGAATAAAACAGCAACCCGAGTATCACAAAAGATGAAAAGCTTGAGCATAGAAATGAAGGTCTCCCACGGAGAATGGAAGGGCCAGAAGGTTCTCTCCAACTGACCACTGGAATGAGAATCAGACGCTTTTTAAAAGGCAGAACAAAGCTCCGGAACGCCTAACACGGAGGCTGCATCCCAGATGAACTAACGAGGAACCGTCAAGGCTGCCAAGAGTCCTGCCAGGTGCAGAACGAGTGTGGGCCCCGGCTTTTCCACCCAAGAGTGAGAGTCCTGATGGCCGGCAGACACACGGTCATCTACGGCCTGTGTCTTCTGAATGGTGATGAGTTAAAGTCTTGATGGATTAAAGCTGTGAGCTTCCTACTGAAATACTATCATTTAAGTTGAAAACAGAGTCATCGATTCCAACTGTCACCAAAGTAGATGGTGGGTCCAAATTTCAATTTCTTAGCATAGCAGAGGACAGCCCACCTGCCCGGACACCTGAATCGGGCTTGGGAGCCACCAGCTCGGGGTCCCGTCTGCATGGAATGTGGGCTCGGGGACCAGGCTGCCTGTGTTTGGGTTCTGGCTCTGCTGCTTTGTGGCTGTGTAACCCCGGCAATAGACTTAACCTTCCCGTGCCTTGGTCTCCTCATCTGGAAAATTATGAGAATTATATACGTTCCTACATGTAGAGTGCTTGGAACAGTGACAGGCACACAGTACGAACCCAATAATGATTATCATCCTTGTTGTTGTTGATGAAAGTTTCTGGCAGAGAACACAACCCCGAAAGTTTAAACGTTCAGAAACTGGCCTGAGAGCTTATGCTGTGAAGAACCGTGTGATGCCTTGGCATTCGCTGTTTCAGAATGAAAGCCTGTTGCCATTCTAGAACTTTAATAGAAATACAGAATATAATTATATGACCATCTTTTGGCTTGAGGTGCCTATTCTGAAAGGACTGGATGTCAAGCCCGGCCTTGAGAAAAAGCAGCCTGGGGTTGAAAGATTCCACGATTTCCTGATAATGTTAAGAGATCCCTTCTGGACAAAATCCATTCAAATAAGATGATGGAGATCAAGGAATACCTCCATGGCGCCCCAGAGATGCCTGATCTAGGTGGCCAGGCGAGCCCGGGACATGTGAGTTTTGAATTAAGTGTCCAGGCGTATGGGGGGGTGGGTCTCACATGAGCTCTGGACCGGACAGCCCTCGCCAGACTGGGGAGTCTACCTCGGAGGTGTCCCAGCGTAGACGGAACAGCCAGCACTTAGGAAGGGAGCCAGGGGTTTTGCCAAGCACCTGCCTGATGGGAAAGTGGAGGTGAGGATGCAGGACAGTGGGTGGGAGGGGTGGCCGCCAGGCTCTCTAGGGAGGCGAGCCAAGCCCACAGGCTCGTAGCCAGGGACTGCCTGAGGCCCAGCTGAGGCTGCACAGTGACGGTCAGGCTCACCGTGCGGGACAGAGGCTGCAGATGGTGGCTGACCGCTCGGGGCAGGATAACTTAGCGGCCAGGAGTGTGGGCAGCTGGGTTCAAATCCTTGCTCTAATGCTGATTAGCCTATGACTCGGGACAAGTTACCCCACTTCTCAGCTTGTTCATCTGCAAAACAGGAACCATAACAGCGTCTGTCTCATGGGGCTGCTGTGAAGATTAAGTGAGCTAATACATGTAAAGTATTAGGGGACCTGGCGTGTGTGAGCTGTGGCCTAAGCAATGGCCATCACTGCTCGTGTTACACAGTGTTTGCTACCTCTAACATCATTGTCACCACCACCGCTGCCACCTGGCCCTCATGTCCAGTCCAGGAAGCAGGGCTGTCTCCTCAGGGTAAAGAAACCAAGCTTACTAACTCCAGTTCATAGAGCATGGAGTTTCCAGACCTCAGGGTCAGGCCAAAGTTCAATAGTCAGCTCTTAGTTGTTCCAAAATAGCTTGGGATTAAAAAAAAAACAACCCAAAAATCAAAACCCCAATTCAATGCAATCCTTGATCCATTCAGAGAATGGTCCAGATGGTCTCTCTCTCTTTTTTTTTCCCCAGTACACGGGCCTCTCACTGTTGTGGCCTCTCCCGTTTCGGACCACAGGCTCCGGACACACAGGCTCAGCGGCCATGGCTCACGGGCCCAGCCGCTCCGCAGCACGTGGGATCTTCCCGGACCGGGGCACTAACCCGCGTCCCCTGCATCGGCAGGCGGACTCTCAACCACCGCGCCACCAGGGAAACCCCAGATGGTCTCTTGATCCCAAGAATATATGCAGTGTAAATTATCAAGTGTGACAATCCCGAACCCCCCTAGAGCCCCCGCCCCCCCCCCCTCCCCCGTCCCACCTGCCTGCCTCCCTGGGGGTTTTTAACCTCACGCTGAGGTCACCTTAGGGCACTCCGGCCAGGCACGGGGCAAGGGGAGGCTCTGAAGGCTTATAAAGCGAAAGCTTTGTCGAGGACACAGCTGCATCCCCCGCGCCCGCAGACTGGACTGGTCTTCACTGACGCACAGTGACCTTGTCCATCACAGAGTTCACATCTGGGCGGGGACACTGGTGATGCACAAAGAGGTGCCTTCAGATTCAAGGACCACGCAGCCCTTCAAATGATCTGTTTTGCTTTAGAAAATAATTCTGATGTTAGCGCCTTCTTTCCTCCCTCTAAGAGCACGCTTGCTCGTGGCATCTGTTTAAAAAGCCAACAACAAGCACAAAGGTTCAGAACAGGGACTTGCTGTGAACGTCAGGCCTGCTGAGTGTGTGCGGACCCTGTGAGCCCCTGCCACCTCCAACCTCGCTCCACAGCAAAGGCAAGAGTAAACGAGATGCTATAATCCTACCCCACAGCGAAAAGCAAAAAAAGTTACGTTTTCACCCCCCCCCCCCCCCCCCAGTCTTCTTCGTTTAAAGTTAACAAGAGCAAGAGAGAAGTGCGTGCAAACACGCCAGGGGACAGGCAAGGGCAGAACACAGGCGAAGGGCCAGCGTCTGTGGAC